CCCCAAAACCCCAAAACCCCAAAACCCCATAAATGTGATTGCTTAGTTATTAGAGTATATAAAAGCCAATAGAAAATTAAAATTATTTATAATGTAGCAACAACATTCTCAGCACCAAATGAATAAAAGCAGTCTTTTAATCAGCAACCCTTTTGCGTAGTCATTGGATCTTGGAAGCGAATCTGTCTTTATCGATTCTTATGAGTAATTGTAATCTCAGCTAAGAGATAAAGACGTGCAGATTGATTTTCTAATGAACAAACTAAACCAAATTTAGCAACTACATTCAATTTCAAAGCTTTAAAATGACCAAGAAATCCAAACTGAGGAAGATCTTAAATCTAAAGAGTAAGAAAAAGCATTGATTGCAGAAGGCATTAGGCTTAAAGACCAATTTTATGAATTAAAGTCCCAGCAAGTGGAGTCAGACATTCACATCAATCGCCTTTAGATTCAGGTTGAAATGCTTGAGTAAAGCAACAATGAGAAGGAGTAACTTATCCAAATTGTTTAAGAAGAGAATAAGTGTCTTTAGGAAAGATATGAGCGTAAATTAAAGGAATAAGAAGCTTATCTTTAAGAGTTAATAACTTGCTTTGAAGGCCTAACTTCCAAAGACCAGTTCTATACATGCTATAACAAAGACATACTAATTACTTCTTACTAATCTTAATAGGAAAATGATATTTTTGAAAGAGATGAAGAGGATGATGAAGACGAGGACATATATATGGAGGATTAATAAGAAATGCAGATTTAAGAGGAAAAAAGAAGGGAGAGATAGTTAGAATATGAGTTGTAGAGAAATGATGAATCAGAGTTATACAATGAACTGCAAGCAGCATTAGAGAAAAACGCAGAATTGATAGTGGTCAATAGAAAACTTGAGTAGACTATTGAAGATATCAAAGAATAGTAAATTTTGAAATAATAGATACTAGAGTAAAGAGATTAGATGCTCAAAGAATAGTTATATGAGGTTGAAAATTACTAAGAGTGCTATATCATGAATAATGTAGCTGATGAAATAAGCAAACAGCTCTTGGATGATATTCTTGCTAAGATCGAATAAGATTTGCAAAGAGAATAACAATTTTCTAACGAGGTTCCTCCCTAAATATTCATAAGTGATTTATCTCTGTCTTATTGATCAAAATAATATCTTTAAGTTTGATTATTGGAATATTGATTTCCTTATAAGTTTTTAATAGTTTAAATTCATAATTCTATCTGTAGGGGTTTTGGGGTTTTGGGGTTTTGGGG